TGTTTGTTTTTTTATTTTATTTTTTTAATAAGGTTTGTTTATCTTTATTGCTTAACTGAAATCGTTTGCTGCTAGCACACAATGAAGCCTGGTAGGACGGAGGTTGGGTTGCTCTGCTGGGACCTGGAGGTGGGCAGGAGAGGTGAGGGGACGCTGCCAGGAGGGCCGGTGGCAGGGATGGAATGGGTGCTGGATGCCAGGTAAGGCACGGCGAGGGGCTCGGCTCCGGCGAGGGACGATGCTGCGTGGCTCTGCCCTCCCACCCGTCCCGTTCCCCTCCCCCAGCAGGAGCTGATGGCTCCTCATCCGCTGGTCCAAAGTGACCAAACCACATGGATTCGGGGTCCGTCATCTGCGAGAAGGCAATGCTGGCAGGGGGGTGGCGTTGGGGATGCCAGGACAGGACAGAGCGATGGTGGTTTGTTGTGAGCAGGATTTCCAGGCTTGCGCCAAAAGTTGGTTTTTCCCCACTGCTTTTCCATCTCTTGCCCCAACATCCCTTCACGGAGAACAGGAGCAGCCCCAAGATGGTGTAAACGTGGCAACTGTCCTCTCGTGTCCCACACTCGTGCTCCTGCGGTTCACATCGGCTGTTGTGGACGTGTGTGGGGCTCCAAACAGCAGAAGGTGTTGGGGGGGACAGGCTGTGTGTCCCTGGGCTCGGAGGCAGCCAGCAGAGTCTGCATCCGCCTCCAGAACATGGATGAGATTCTTGGCTCAGAGTGTTTTAGGAACAGGCTTGACTTCATGAGTCAGGAGTTGGACCCAAACGGCTTTTCCCCTGGCTTCTGAGAGCGCTTGATTTTGGGTCTGGCTCTTCTTTCTCCTTATTTACGTATCTATGAAGTGTTGACCCCTAATTGAAACCCTTTATGAAGATGTATCTTCTGCAAAAAGAAAAGGTGGAAGCGTGTCCTGCTCCAGAGAGGCTGTGCAGGTCCCAGAGAGGGACGGTCCCCCCTGTGATGGAGACTGACCCCTTTGGAGGGGTCCTGCCCTTGGAGCAGAGGGTCTGGACTCGGGGCTTCCCCGAGCATCTCTGCAAACCTGGGGTTACACTGCAGGTGGAGGGGGCCAGGGTGACTGTCCTGTCCCCTCTGGACAGGGACAGGATGGAGAAGCAAAGCAGCTCTTGTGAGGAAGCACTGGGGATCGGAGGACACCCAGACAGGCAGAGCTGGGTGGGCAAGACCCCTCAGCACCACGGTCCTCGTGCAGGGTCTCCATCCATCCGTGACCGTGGTGCTGGTGCAGCTTGGCCCTGGCTGGTTCTGGGGGGAAAATGCATTTTTGGGGAGGAGGGGTTTGTCCTGTCAGAGGTTTTGGTGATTGGAGCAAGCGAGGGCTTTGCTCCCCACGATGCAGTAACTGCACATGCAAACACCTGCTGAGCATTTATTAAAGGGAGTGAAAAAAGTTAAGCTCGTGATGAGTTTTGAACTTAGTGAGAGTTTTCTTTGGGCTCCAGAACTCTAGGGGAAGTTTCAAATAAATGTTAAAATTTTGACTTTACCTTATAATACTCGAGTAAATTTTACACCAGGCCAATACAAGGCTCCAAGTAACTTACACTGAGCCGTTTGTCCGTTGAGCCCTCTGCAGGCACCTTCCTTTTCTGGTTACTGAAAGTAAGGTGGTGGTAGGACCCTCATGGCTTTTGTGAGACTCTTTGGGGCTAGGACAGGACCAGCTGGGCTGGGTCCATCTCCTTCCCTCCCCTCTTGCTGAGCCACGCTGTGGGGCACGTGCTGCAAAGCTACAGGGGGAAACGCTTCTCCATTCCCAAGTTTGCTCAGTAAAGTGGTGGTTTGTGACAGGACAGAAACACAGGCTTTAATACAAATGGCACGTGATACAGATACATGACACAACCCGCCCTGCTCCCAGTAACGCCTGAGGTTCTGGAGGTGGTGTGTGGGAGCCGAGGATCTTGGGGTCCCCCTTAGGGGTTGGCCCCCAAAGCAGCAAGGATCTGGGGCGCTGGGTGCGAATGCAGACGCCCAGCTCTGGTGGCAGAGGTTTTTCCACTGTAGTTTCTTTCCTCCTTTCCACCAGTGCTGGGGCAAGAAGTTGCACAGACTCTTGCTGTAAGGACAGCCGTAGGCTTGGGAAGCGCTTGTCCCCGTGACCAAGGGCTGCCTTACGTTTGGCCTGCTGTGTTTGCTTAAAATCTGAATCCATGTCCTGGGAAGGGGCTGGGAGATGCTCTCCTTGGGCCGGATCGGTGGCGAATGGCAGCAGCAGAAATAGGCTCGTTGCACAAATGCATTTACACCAACGGTAACGGAGCGAGATGTGGGGCTCCCACCCTGCGAGGTGACAGGGATGGAGGACCCCGGCAGATGAGCAGGAGCAGGGAGACATCCCTGGGGGTGGCAGGAACGACCCCAGCTCTAGGGGGTTCCTCTACTTGGTGACACCAGCTCTAGGGGGTTCCTCTGTTTGGTGACACCAACCTACCCCCTCCTCGGCTCGTGGGGTGTGTGTAACTCCTGTGCTGTGTGGTTTGCGTCCGTCTCTCTCCTCTTTTCTCCCTGTGATCCAGCAGTAGGTGCTGACCGGGTCCGGGCTCTGCCCCGAAGCGCAGGATAGTTGTGCCATTAGCAGCTTAAAGAGTGTGGCAAAGTCCATCTCGACAATCCATATTAGTAGAAGTATTCTCGTTAGCGATACGTCTTCATAGCAAACCGGCTTCGAAAGCTAAAAGAATAATTGCATTAATCCTATTGCGTTTAATCCATTATGCTGAACAGCAACGTCCTCCTTAGAAAAAGAAAGGAAAGAAAAATCCATCCTAACGTCGCTCGCCGTCCTGTGGAAACGGTCCGAAGGAATCCCATCTCTCTCAGCGAAGGTACCTTTGGTTTCAAAAGTGCAGGAAGTGGGAGAATACACATGGCGTCGGCCACTAAGGACTGTCTATTATAAAATTCTACCTTCTACGATGATCCATGCTGTCTCAGCTGGGAGAGCCGCCCAGGCATCCTACTCCTACTGGTCTTGGCGGATCGAAGACCATGGCGTTAGGGGCGCGTAAGCGGTGGGGAGGGGGGTGGTGGTGGTTTTGGGGGGAGATAGTATCAGTTTATTAAACTTCCCGGGAAGTTCGAAGCTGTGTAAGGCATGTGAAGGAGCACTCCTACCCGAGACGCGTCGTTAAAGAGCGTGTTAACGGGTTAATTGAAATGGCGCGTTGTCTTGATATGTCGGTCAGACAGCTTGGGGGAGGGGGGGGGGTCCCCACGGTGCCGGCGCTCGCTCGTGGAAGGGTCTCGCTCGGGTTGATTGATGGAGGGAGGAGGGGGAAAGGCCACTGTCAGAAATGAGGAGGGGGAGTTTAGTGGAAAACGCTCTCCATCTGGCTCATCCCTGGTGCCTGGGGGAGACGTGGACCTGGGGTCCTGCCCTCCCGCTGTGTGTCCCCCCCGAGGGACACGTGTCCCTGAACCGTTCAAGCTGCTGCTTGGGGTGGATCCTCCACCCCATCCCGGCGGGTGCTTCTCATCCTGACCAGGTGGCTCTGATTTTTTATTTTTTTTTGCAAAAATAAGGGATTTCTGGTCCTCTCATCCTACATTAACACTGATCCTGCTTCCACTCCCTCTTTGCTACATAAGACTTATGGAGTTGCCTTTAAAAGAAAGCAGGCGTGGTCTGGGGGTGGTTTCCCCCCAAATTCTTACAACGCAAAGGCCAAACTGAAGCGGTTTGCCTGCGGTGACCCAGGTGAGCATTGCTGTTGTCCTGGGCTCGGAGGACAAGCGGCACCTGACTGTCCTTCCACAAATCCCACAAGCTCTTCTGCAACCTCTTGTCCTCTGAGGATGCTCTGGAGCCCTGTGGGGGTGGCATGTGATCCCCTCCTGGGCTTTGCCAGGGGGGATGGATCATGGAGGCTCAGCACTGATGGGAGTCAGGGCGCCAAGGGAAGTGGTGAGGACCTGCTCTTCCCTGCATAGGTGCTGCTTGATCTTTCGGGAAGGAGGTTGTGGCTCTGCCTGGTTTGGGAAAGGCCTATGGCCAAGATGCTGCCGTGAGGATGGACATCTCAGTAATACAGTGCCGTGGTGTCGTTACCCAAAGATCCACCACTTTCCTCCTTTCATGCACTTATGTTGCTCTTGCTGCTCTGCCCAGGCCCCATTCACCCCTCTTCCTTTCTCTTCCCCAAACTTTTTTTATTTTTTCCCTTTTTTTTTTTTTTTTTCTTTTTTCCCCCCCCCCTCTTCTTCCCTGGGGGGGGGTCAGAAGGATGGGCTGAAAGGCAGGAGGGCTCCTATTGTCTCTGCTCTGCCTCCAGGGCTGACCCCCTGTGTCTCTGAAGTCACCCAGCACCTGACTGTGCCCTGCTCCCACCGATGCCCTGATGTGCCCTGGCACTGATGGAACGAACCCACCGCAAGCAAACGATGGCAGTCAGAGGTGCAATCCCATGAGAAAAAGAGTTTTTATGACTCCACAGCAGCAGCATTTTCATGTCCAAGCGGTATCCTATCACCCCTCACAATTTTATTTAATCGCATTCGTATTTCATGGAGTATCTCAAGTTGGGAGGGACCCATCAGGGTCATCAAGTCCAATTTGATTTCCATTTTGAAGGCAGAGTGCTAAAGAAAAACCGATGCTGCTGTTCGTTTTTTTTTTTTTCCTTTTTCCCCCTCCCCCTCTTATCCGGAACCTTCCTGTAAAGATTAAAAAGAAGAAAATTTTAACTGCCTCCCAAAAGAACAAAAAAGAGCCTTGGGGGGGGCCGGGGGTGGCCCCCACCGGGCTGGCTCTGGGCGCCGGGGCCAGCCCCGAAGCTGGGGTGCAGCTCGAGCATCCCGCTCCTCCTCCGGCTCAGCCCAGAGTTCAGCTACAGCTACAACCCATCGCGCCCCGGGAGTCCTTGCCGTTTGCTAAGGATAAGATGGCATCGGCAGCCACCTGGTCTGGTCTGCCTGTTTGCTTGGATAATTTTTTTTTTTACTCTTTTTTTTTTTTTTCTTTTTTCTATATTATTATTTTTTGTTTTTGTCACCGTTGGTTGGTTTCATTCACATGTTCCTGTTGGAGGTAGTGGCGGCGGCGGCTGTTGTCTAACCCCCATCCACTACAAACCCCTCGGGCCGTTGGTGGTTCCAGGGCATCTTGCTATGCCAGGGAGTAGATAGCATTGACTGGGGAGGTGGCTTCCGAGCTCTCGTTGCCTTCGGTCTCCTCTTTGTCCTTCTTCACCGTGTACTGGCCGATAAAGGAGCCGTCCTCGTTAAACTGCCCTTCTCCCCCCTCTCCATAGTCCACCAAGCTGTCGTCGCTCTCCTGCTGCTTTATCGTGCCGTCCAAGGAGGTCTGGCTGTTGGGCAGGGGTTTGTTGTCTTCATCGCTGGGTGGCAGAAGACAGACAGACACAGTAAGGGTTGAGAAACGGGGCTTACAACCTTCCCCCAAGGTCTGGATATTCAAAAATAAATCCAGTCTGCAAATATACTGACCAGAGACCACAAATCGGGGGTGCTCTGGCTCCAGGCAGCAAGTTGTGGTGCATCTGGGCACGTAGGTGAAGGTGGGGAGAAAACCTCCTTGTAGGAGACCCACAGCTGCCCCAGCAATGGGGGCTGTGGTTGGTATTTCTGCAAGCCCAACCTTCATACTTTTTTCTTTTTAGAAAGCCTTATATCTGTTTGGTTTTTTTTTTTTCAAACCTATATGACATAGGATGCTTAGATCTGTCCAACTGGATGTATGTTATAAATATCCTTTCCTTGTCATTGCTTATATTCTTTCTTTCTCTTAGGGTTTTAGCCAACCTTGGTGTAACCTGAGGTTTGTTTCCAGATTTCCTTGCAAAACCAGGCTGGTTGTTTAGAGAGCTACATGCAACGGGGAGCGCACTCAAAGCACTGCGAAGGGGGCATGTAGAGGATGCCAAGTTCTGTGCAGCTTCCAAAACTCATGGGAATTTACCTTTCCAAGCTTATTTCGGAGCATCTAAGCTTGTTTGCTCAATTCTTTATCCTTTGCTCTCTTTCACTAGAAAGATTAAGCCAGGTCACTGAAAAATAAATAGTCTGACCCACAGGAAAAAAAAAACCCAACCCCTTAAAGAAAACCTTTTAACAAAAAAAAAAAAAAAAACAGGGAAAAGCTGTTTTCTCTCTGGAGGGCAAGGGCTGGTATCTCATAAATACAGATAACATTGTGTGGAGGACGAGTGGCTCACTATACAGAAAAATTAATTTTCATATTGACTAGTCCTTAGTTCATGTTTGATCTTATGTCCAGCATGCACATTGTATAATATTCCTAAAGATATCACACGGGTACCTTAAGCGTTTTTTTTTTTCCTTCAACCTCCATTCCTCTCTTTTTATTGTTGTTTTAGCTCAGGACTCCTCAGGCTCACTCTGCTCTTTTATTTTTCTTAAAATTGGTAAAAGTGCTGGGCTTTGATTGCGGCCCTTGATCGTTGGTGCCCACACTCAGGTGTTTGCCTCCCGTGAAGGCACGAGAAGCACTTTGCTTGGGCCAGGGAGCAAAAATGCTCTTTGGCTGGGGGAGGCATTAACTCTCCCTCGTGCCAGTGAATTAATGGCATCAGCTCTCGGCAGCGGGGGAGGAATTTGGTATCCCACAGCACAACACGCGGCTTTATAAGATATTTCCTTGTATCAACGCTTTGTGAATTAAGCAATAATACAAAACCAATATTTGAGGCCTTGTGTTAACTTGGCATCACAATAAAAACCAACTTGTTAGCTTTGAAAGCGGCTTCGTTCTTGGGGGGGGGGGGAGGGGGAAGAGAATTCAGTCTGCAAGCAGGACTGCCAGTTAGAAAGCCCAGTAAATGCCAAGTAGAGAGTGGCAAAACTCAGATCCCTTTCTTTGCAATATCCTCTCCCACGGTTTGGAGTTCAGTTAAAGCCAGATTTTCCCTAATGGGGGGGTTTGCAGCACCAAACTCCCCGCCAATGCGTTTCCCGGACCTGCCCCCTGGTTTTACCTCTCTCTGGTACTATTTATCCTGTTAGTGCATTAGGAGGACGAAGCAGATATTCATCAGGGCCTTGATGCACTATAACCCTGTTAAAATGGATTTCTGTGGGGTTTGCTGATGTGTGCATTAGAGAACCAGAGCACCCAGATGAAAACCATTTGGGAAACGTCGTCCTGAGTTGCATAAATCATTGAGAAGAGGGGGGAGGATTTTCAGGACTGAGAGTGGGTAGATTGTTTAGGAATTAGCAGTTGGTTTTTTTTATCTCCTGGTCCCTTGCCACCATCCCCTGGGTTGGGCACCGAGGGCATCATTCCCAGGTCCAACCCTTGGCCAAGCCATGGGGAGCTCAGCAGGTCCCGCTGCACCAGGAGGGCTCAGCTGCTGGAGCGTGGGGCTTTTTGGGGGGCTGGCTGGCTCTCGGGGGTGCTCCCAGCCCATGGGGCATTTCCAAGCAAGGTGCAACTGGCTGGACGTGGGGGTACCCCCAGTGCCAGCAGGAGTTAGAGGGATGTTGTTTAATGTGTTAGGTGGAGGCAGGTACACGGGGAATAGGGAGAGGGGGGGGGAGTTTCAGCTATAAAGAAATAAATAGCTAAAAGGAAGGAAAATAAAAAAAAAAAGCTAAATGTGCCGGACTTCTGGCAGCACGTGGTCCTACCTTTCAAGAGACCTTCATGGTCCATGTGGATAGACCAGGTGAAAAGGAGAAGAAAGAATGGGAATAAAACAGAGAGAAGCAGAAAGAGCCTGATCAGAGAGAGGTATGATGAGGTCTGCATTTACAGGGGCAGTGCTCAAAACCAAAAAGAACCGTCTGCATTCCTCATGGAGCTAATTGCCTCGTTATACCAAATGGAGCCAGCGTAATTGCTGGGAGCTGGATGAGCCTCATTGGCTTCCCCGAGGAAGCAAATGCAGGAGGGGATGGCGCGGGTGGGAAGCTCTTTGCCATGGGGCTGCTCAAAAAAGGGCTCGTGGCTGAAGCCCGTTGGCAAGTGGCTGTAGGGAGCAGGGGTCACTGCTGGGGATGGACATGCAGCAGGACGAGGGCCAAGTGAAGGGGTTTCTGCTGGGTTTCCATGATAGTCATGCACCAGAAATCGTGTTATCTACAGACAAGGCTACACCTCCCCAGGCTGCTTTGCCAGGGCTCTCCTCCCCTCGCTGGCCTCAGAAGATGGTTCTGTGTCATCCTGGTGGGGTGTCTGCTGAGATGGTCCATGCGGGGCAAGCTGGCCCTGCCTGCAGTGTGTAACCTGTGCCACTGAGTCTGAACTGGAGCCCAGAAGCTAAAACCAGTCAACCTTCCCTTCCCAGCGGCCAGGGTTTCCAACCGGCTCCCCCACGTGCAGCTTAAACATTTGGTATAATGAGGCACAGTCACTGGCACAGAACATTGTCCAAGGATAATGGTCTCCTGCTTGGAAAATAAGCTTCTCAGCTTAGCCTCTGCTCAGGAAAACCATTATTCTGTTAGTGGAACAGAAAGATGTGACAGTATCTCTTAATTATAGGCTGCAGAGATTTGAAAGTTGCATGCACGGGGCATTAAGGACGTGAGATATGATGAGAGCATATCAGACATGCTATGTGGAGGTGGGGAGGGAAACCAATGAAGAACTCCCGTCAGCTCAATTCTTGTCCTTGCTTGAAATACTAATTGCTACCCTCCTTGAGCCCAACATCGCAATCATTTTGAATCTTAATCAGCCAACAGCATTTCATATCAATCCTTCAGGTTCACCTTCCTTTCTGCCTCCTTGAGGGAAGCCTCCTATTACTTCTCCCAGGAAACCTGTTGTTCCTTTGCCCTGAGGGGGCAAAGTTTAGGGGTTGTTGGGTTTTTTTTTTGTTGTTCTTATTTGATTGGGTGTTTTTCCCATGGGAGTGTGACTGAAAATGTGGGAGCATCTTGGAGTGTGGTAGTTGCGCTTCTACTGAGCTCTGCCTTTAGCTTCCAAACTTTTGGGACTGGAGCTGTCGATAAAAGTTTGAGCTTCAGCTAAGCAGAAGCCTCTGTGTCGTAGGATGAAGGATTTACCCCATTCCTTCCCATTCTCTGGAAGGCAATGCCCCTTGGATGGCACTGGGGCAGTAACTGCAGCATGCCACCAGCCATGCCAAGGGTTTGGTCTTCCTTCTCTGCAAGGCAAGTGGTCCCTGGCAATGGGATGGCTTTAGGAGCGATGGGGGTGAGGAGGTCTTGACTTGCAACCACCTCGACAGACTCATGAAAAGCAGGTCTCTGAAATCAGTGCGTACTGCCAGAAGCTCGGCCGTGGAGACCTTGTCTGAGATCCAGGTGATGGAGCTAACCCCGGGGGGGTTGTGTGTGGGTAGGTGATGAGATGTTTCAGGCTTGCCACATGTTATTTAAACCATCCCACAAATTTGGGAACCACAAGGATCCCTGTTGTGACTCAGAGCATTAAGGGTACTTGTTTTGGTCATAGTTTGGACACTAGCTGTGTACCGTGTGGTTATGGCTCGTATCTGTACAGGGAACACTGCCTGCACTCGTGGAATCACACCTGGGAAGAGATGTGTGTGATCCAGGGCAAAGCCTGCAACAGGACCAGGCTGAGCTAATTTCTCCTCTGCTGCTCTCCCTGTCCTGGCCAGGAATCTGAAGGGAACATCACCCCCAGACTGTGGTTTTATGTGGATTTAATATAATTGCCCTGGGGTGGCTTGCCACTGCTGGAAGTGAGACCCAAACCTCACAGGGGCTTTTTGGGGGGCTGGTTTGGGTGTCATGGTGACCTCTTCCTACTGTGTGTGGATTTAATATAATCGCCTTGGGGTGCCTTGCCACTGCTGGAAGTGACACCCAAACCTCGCAGGTTTGGGTGTCATGGTGACCTCTTCCTACAACATGCCATTTATTCTGGTTCCTGCTGGGGTGTACTTGTGTTCTGTGTCGTGCTACGGGAAGACTGGGGAGCTTTGGGCTTACGACATCCTTTGGAGAAAGACTCGCTACTGAAATAGAGTTACGGAGCTACTAACAATATAAATGTGGTCGTATTGAGGGCTGCAGTTGTTCTGCTTCCATTTACGTGTTGCGTGCAGGGAGATATATTCATTTTGCTTCCTCTAAAGTCTTTGGTGGAACACGTGTGTCTTGTTACATCCCCTACTGAATTGTAAGTAAATTCTTTCTATCTTTGCTACCTCAATTTGCGATGCTAGGAGTATCGGTAATGACATGGGGCTTAATTAACCCCTCTTTTGAAGTCAGGAGAAGAATTCCTGCTGGCCTAATTGGGCTTTGGATCCAGCTCAGATGGAAAGGTGCATTTTAATGCTTTAAAGAAAAGCAAAGCCTGCTGTAGGTGCTGTTAATACATCCCTGTCATCTGTCAGGTGTGGGAATGTGATGAGACCTGACATCCTTACCTGCTCCTGCTCCTTGGGGGCAACCAGGAACAGCAGCAGAGCTGTGGGTGCTGTGCTGCAGGAGAGCAGGCTCGGCAGAGCCCCTGCCCCTCTCTGAAATATCCTGGGAGGTTTCCTGGAGTGAAAACGGGTGCTGCTGCTCCTCCAAGGATGCCCCTTTGGGTGAAAGCAGCTGAGCGGAGATGGGGGGAAAACTGGGGTGGTTTTAGCCCTTAAGGCATTTCTGTAGGGTTTGCTTGGGGACCTTACAGAAAAGCCTTGAGTGGGGCGCAGGCAGACCCCCAAATCAGTATCCTTGCACACTTTCAGGGCTGATCCAAACAGAACTTTGGGCATTTCTCCCCTGGATACTTTTATGGGTAGGAGAAAGGCTGACCTCAAATATCGCCGGTCTGCTTTGGAGGGTTTTGGGGGTTTGGGGGATGTTTTTGTGTGGTTTTTCATATGTTTTAGGGGTGTCATTGAGGTTGTTCCACACCTGAGGGTGAGAGCAGCTGAGCAGAGATGGGGGGAAAATTGGGGTGGTTTTAGCCTTTAAGGCATTTCTGTAGGGTTTGCTTGGGGACCTTACAGAAAAGCCTTGAGTGGGGCGCAGGCAGACCCCCAAATCAGTATCCTTGCACACTTTCAGGGCTGATCCAAACAGAACTTTGGGCATTTCTCCCCTGGATACTTTTATGGGTAGGAGAAAGGCTGACCTCAAATATCGCCGGTCTGCTTTGGAGGGTTTTGGGGGTTTGGGGGATGTTTTTGTGTGGTTTTTCATATGTTTTAGGGGTGTCATTGAGGTTGTTCCACACCCGGTGAGAGCTGTGTCAGGGGTAGCTGATGCCAGAATTCCAGCTCTCCGCCTGGACCCATCCTTCCAGGCTGAGACGGGGAAAGGAGGAGACCTTGGCAGCATCCTCGCCGCCTGGTGACTCTCCCAGGGAACGTTTCCTTTGGGTAGAGGACTTGCAGAGGGAAGGAGGCAGGAGGAGGAAGGTGGGAAGAATAACTGGGGAGGCTGTGTGGCCCCGTGGTTACGTGGAGGGGGAGCGTGGTGGGGTCTGTGATGGCTGGGAGCAGGGGCGGATGGGGGGTGTGGGTACACATGCCGATGGGAGCGTACCTGTAGTCGAACGAGCCATCTTCTACGTTCTTGTCTTCAGGATTGAGGTGCTCGTCTTTATTGTCTCGCACTGTAAGGAAGCACAGCCCCAAGACTGGCATTAAAAAGCAGTAGAGAAGATAAAAGCTTTATGAGGCAGTAACAGCAACCGGCGGCGTGGCTGCCTTGGTGAGGTGCTGGAGTGTGGCCAGAGAAGGGCGACAAAGCTGGTGAGGGGTCTGGAGAATAAGTCTTATGAGGAGAGGCTGAGGGAGCTGGGGGTGTTCAGCCTGGAGAAGAGGAGGCTGAGGGGAGACCTTCTTGCTCTCTCCAACTCCCTGAAAGGAGGGTGTAGAGAGATGGGGGTCGGTCTCTTTTCTCAAGTCACAGGCGACAGGACGAGAGGAAATGGCCTCAAGTTGCGCCAGGGGAGGTTCAGGCTGGATATTAGGAAAAATTTTTTCACTGAAAGGGTTCTCAGCCATTGGAATGGGCTGCCCAGGGAGGTGGTTGAGGCACCATCCCTGGAGGTGTTCAAAAGACGGGTTGATGTAGTGCTGGGAGGTCTGGTTTAGTGATGATGCTCCTTGTTTGTTGTGTGGGTGTCTATTTTTGTCAGTTAGGTTGACGGTTGGACAAGATGATCTTTAAGGTCCCTTCCAACCTAGAAGATTCTGTGATTCTGTGAGATCCCCGCAGGGTGAAGGACAGCGTTTCATGGATTTGGTAAAAAACCCTCACTGGGGAGGGTTTGCAGAGGTGCTGCTGAGGGGGCACCAGGGCACGGGTGCCCCAGACAAGGGGAGAGGATGTATTAATTGGTATCTTTTCTGAAGCCTTATATTTGCCTTGCAAAACTTTTAATGAGGTTGTTTTGGGGTTTTTTTTTTGCCTGAAAAGATATCTTTCTAGATGAGGACGAGGAAATTTGCAGAGTAGAGGTTGGGTCATGCACCACAGGAGCATCCAGCTCCTCAGCCTAAAGCCTGCTCAGCACAGAGCCCTCGCCTGACCTTTAATTAACTGAAATGCTTCCCACTAATAATAGCGTTCCCACTACAGAGAAAGAAAAGCCCTTGTAATCACAAGCATCTCTCCGAGAGCAATACAATTTGATTAGCCCCCGGAAGGCTGGAGATGTTTAAACCATGAGCGCAAACGATTCCCGAGCAACGCTCCTACCTGGATATTTCCCGCCTCTGCTCCTCTTAATGAAGCAGACTATCAGCAGGATGAGGACCAGGAGAGCTATGGCACACATCAGCCCGATGAACCAGCCCTGCGTCGCGATGTCCACGTGGTTCTTGGTATAAGCTGGGAGGAAAATGGGAAGGAAAAAAAAAAATAATCTATAAGGGACTAGACCAACACCACTGAGAGGGGAAAAGATGAGTAGAAAGACACAGTCCACAGGTTTAGAAATTATCTTTAGCGCGGCATTTGTGTGTCTCTGTGTGTATTGAGCAGATTATCTGAGGCTGTAGCACAGGCATCTGTGGCTTCTTTTTGGTTTTTTTCCTCTTTTCTTTTGTGGTGGTTGGTCAACTCAACGTTTTAGCAGGAGCTACGAACAGCGAAGGGTCACAACATAAAGTAAAACCTAGCACAGACCGGTGAGAAAGGCGTGTTGCAAATAATGGCAAAAAGAAGCTGGGTAACAGATTTGATCTTTCATTTACTGTGCCTGAAAACCACCCTGGAAGCCAGAAGGTCTGAAAGAAACGTGCCCAAGTGGATCCTGTCCCCAGTGTCCAGTGAGGCTGAGCAGCACCACTGGATCCAGAGGGTTGTGGAGCCCTGAAGAGCTCTTTAGCAGCTTCAAGCTGGGAGAAACCTAAATTGCATGGGACAGGCCTGTCCGAGCCACAGAGGTAGTAGGGTAGCCTTTGGGTAGCCAGGGGGGGGCTGCAGGGCTGAGAGGGGGCTTGTGGAAGCCCACCAAGACTTGGCCAATGCGGGAGAGGGGATGCAGTGGTGGGAAGAGCTCTTTGAGGAACAACAGCAGGGTCCCAGGTAGTCGAGAGGTGATCTGATAGTGATGGAAAGTCTTTTCTGCCGGGGCAAGCTCTGCTATTGAATATTTAGAAATTAATATCAAGCAAGGAGGTGTCTTTTTTTTTCCCCAAACAACACTCCGGCTCATAACTGCCGTGTCCTCCCTCATGTACTCTGACTTCTTGTTTGCAGCTCCCGTACACGGTCAGACAGACAAATCTGTGTCCTAAAAATAGCAACAAGATGCCATTTTCTGGCTCTCATTGACATGCGCTTCGTATTCAGCAAGACAGAGCAGAGGAGAAAATAACCTTCAGCGCAGCAGGGGGGACTAAATTTAACCAGACTGCAGTGCAAACAGAGAGAGGTATTCCTGGCAGGAGCACGGGAGGTCTGAGCAGAATGGGATTGAATTGGGATTTAGCTGGGTTTTGCCTGAAACGGGCAGGACAGCACGGTGAGAGCATCCTTCTGTGGTGCCCGTGTGACAAAACCCAAGATGGTGCTTACAGAGAAAGCATAAAAGGTAGCCCTCCCTTAGTGTGTTCTGAACGAAAGTCTCTTGTAAGAGACAACGACTTTAAAAATGGGTTGAATTTGGCAAACTTGCCTAACCCACGCCGTTCTAGGACTGTGAGCACACACTTATTCCATCAGAATTGAACCCTAGAGAAGAGGTGCTTTCCTTAGGATGAAATCTAAGCCACGTTGTCAATAGGTAATTGCAGCCAAAGCCTTGACAAGGAAATTCAGATAAAAGAGGAGAACGACCAGAAAGAGCACCATTTCCTAAAGAAATGATGCTGGACCCTGAACGCCCTGTGTTTTTTTGAGCATCACTGAGCTCCTGGGGAAGCCGGGGTGGAAGCAGCTGCCTAATGGGGCCTTGGCTCCCTTTTGCTGCTTTTCCCTTTAATGCTGCCCCATCTAATATTTACCTTTAGTATAACCTGAGCTGTGGAGTCCTTGAAGATGCACTTTTTATAATGGAGAGAATGAGATTATAACGGAGCGGAGCTGAGAATTGGATTCAATTAGCTGAGTGCTCGGGGAGGAAAGGGGAAGAAAGCTTCACTGGAGAGCTTTGAAATGGAAAAAAGATTGTATTAGCAGTCCTGACGGGATGGGGTTTGTACTGAAACCAACACTAAGGGAGGAATAAGGAGGGGGTCTTCAAAGTACAAAATGCCAAAGCAGCCCAAGAGGTGGGTTTGGGCTGAGTTTTTCGGGGAGGGAGGGTTTTGTCCCAAGTCACCAGGGGATCTTGCAGTAGGATCGTGGCACTGCCTGTCGCCAAGGTGGAGGTATAATTGCCATCCTTCCCAAAAAAGCAACACATGACGACAAAATTATAGTCACAGCAATCTTGTATTTAGAGTAAACGAGTGACTGTCATTGCAGCGTTCAGGAGGAGGAGATTAAGTACATGGCTGTCAGAGAGGATGTTTTGATTTGCTTTAATGCAAGGCCAATGTCAAGGGGAAATAGCGGGAAGCAGCTGTGTAATCGAACAGGTATTGATTTGAAATGCGACTGCATTTCAAAAAAACTGGTTTTGTTTTGTTTTGTTTTTTAAAAAATAATGACAATTTTGTGGCAGAAAACATGTTACCTAACAGACATAGTTTATATGCCAGAAGCAAAGCTGACTGTGTTTCACCCAGAGAAGATCAGCAAAGTTTTTGTCTGTCTTGGTAAAGCAGAAGGGTTGGGTATGTGAAGTCTCACCAACTCCAGCTTTGCGTGATCTTCTTCCTGGTGTTTGTGTAGGTTGGGGATTTATTTTTTAAAAAAATAATAATTTAGAAGGCCTCTCTGTATTAAGCTATGTCTGTAGTTTCAAAGTGTCCTTTGCTACTGGAAGGTGCTCTGTTGAGTTATCGAGGTGTCAGTTCATCAGAAGTGAAGTCGGAGGGCAGGGGGGCTGCTGCTTATTTATTTCTCTATATTTATCTATGCTCAAACTCAAGAAACTTTTAGAATAGCTATTTGCAAAACATTAAAAAGCAAAACACGCAAAACAAAACAAAACAAAAAGAACCCAACAGTGCTTTTTTTTTTTTTGTCAAAAGCATTCCTGATGGCATATGACTGTCTGTGGGGGCTGAGTGTTTGTGTCAGCAGTATCCAGCCAGGGAGGAAATGGAGCTGCAGCATTTACACACGCAGGGACAGAGAGAGCTCTGCACGTCCCGCGGTGATGGGGCTCAGGTCACCCATCTGCCTCCATCACGGGCACCACTGAAGGTGGCCCCATCCTTTGGTCTCAGTGATAATATCAGTAGGAACCCCTCAGTTACAGAAAATAGATATGCCGAGACTGCCAGCATCAATCAGCCAAGGAAATTGTGCTTTTTTCCCTCTATTTCTAATGATTCCCTGCCCCTTGGTGTCCGTTGTGGAGGGGGCTGCCCCTTTCCCTATCCCTAGACCCCAAACTGAGTGAAAAGCAGGTGAGAAAAGAGAAGAGACGGGTCCGAATTGGGAAATAGTTACTCAAAAAGGCACGGTGCATGGTATGGTTGGGGGCTGTCGGGTGATTTCTGAGTTGGGGGAGGAGAAGGGGGTCCAGAAGCAGAAATTGGGGGTGGAACATTGCAGCGGAGCTGTTCTGGAGAGGGTCTGAGTTGGAAAAATCAGCTCGTTTATTGTCTAGGGGCAGAAGCAGCCTCTGCAGTGCAGGAACAGGCTGGGAGCCTGGGGATTTGAAACCTGCAGAGACACTTTGCGTGTCTGGGAGCCGAGTCCTGCCCGAGCAGGAGTGAAAACTCCCGGGGCCAGGCAGCCGCGCTGGATGGCACGTACAGAGGTGGAGCCACGGGGGGGAAAAACCCGGTGAAAATAAATCCTTTTTGAAAACGCGGCGCTCTGCAAAGCCGAGCACGTTCCAGGGGCTGCCGTGCCGTGGGTTCGAGCACATCGTGGGGTGATGGAGGGGTTTGAGGAGGCACATCAGCCCTCAGCGTGGGGCAGAGGCAGGACAGAGCCAAGGTCAGCACTGGCTGGGTATTTCTCAGCGTCAGACGTGCAGAAATACCAGCAGTTGCCATCTGTCCCTGTGTCATCGTAGCACGTCAAGAGAATTATTTGGCGGCTTTATGGCTCGCCAAATTTTTAGACACCAAATAAGATGTGCGCTGGGCTGGGGGGTGTGGGGAGAGCTGGTGCCCCCCACCTCCCCCTGGAGCTCTTCCCTTGCTGTGCATTACATTTTCCTTTTGCATTTCTCAGCCAAGAGCCTGGGAAGCGCTTGAGCTTTCGATTACGTGGCTGGATCTGAGCGAAATAATTGTAGTTCTTTGAAAATCACAGCCTCTGCCTACTACATCTGTCAACGTGGGCTGCTCGGGTGTTGCTTGCTCCTTGGTTTTTCAGCCCAAGTGTTTGGACCCGCGCTCTGACAGGCGTTTGTGCACAGATTCCTACGGCAAAACCCCCAGGTGAATACAAAGGAAGTTACGGCTGTTTTGATTTACTGAAGCTCGTTGAGCGCAAACAGTGAAGTTTTATAAATGCATAAAACCCAGTTCAGTGCCTGTGGAAGTCAATAAGTGTATTTCTCTGGCAGTGTAGGAAGCCAATAATTAGAAAGCTGTAAAAATCACTCAGGTGCTAAGCCTGGAAAATAGCTTGTGCAATTAAATGCAAAGTTGCCAGAGGAAGCATACCTGGAGGATGGAAAGCTCTAGGCATAAGCTACGTGTGACTCTGACCCAGGTCTTTTGCAAACACCACATTCCCTGTCCTGGTCCTGCCCCTCACTTGCATCCCATCGCCTGCATCCCATCACCATCATCCACAACCTGGGACCAGACGTGTCCGTGCTCTCCGGGGCCAAAGCAACCATCATCACAAGTAGCAACGCGCGTGTGGAAGTGCAAACACACAGTGGCGGGGCTTCAAGCACGATGACACGAGCGTGTCCTCCACCCTCACTGAACACCCTTTCTTTCAAAGGGATCCCCATCCCCTCCTGGGGCTCTCCTCCTCCATGGGACCTCCTGGTGATGCTGGAGGGGGCTCCGAGAAGGGCAAAGATGGGTTGGGGGGCTCCCGGGGAGGGGAGTGGATGCGGGTTGTTCCATGCCCGAGAAGGGGGAAGATGGGTTGGGGGGCTCCCAGGGAGGGGAGTGGATGCGGGTTGTTCCATGCAGTCAGTGGTGGTGAAACCACCTCCCGGCACCACGCGAATGGCGGTGATGGATGTGCCATGCCTCGGAAACGCACCCCGCGGCGGGGCTGAAGCCCCTCTCACCTGAGCTGGTGGTAAAGGTTATGTACGAGTGTTCGCTGGGGCTAGACCATATGGGGAACACCCACAGCTTGTACATCATCCCCGGCGTCAGATCCGCCAGCTGCACAGAGGAAGGGGTCTGAGCTTTAACAGGGATAGATTTCTCTGTCTTGTTACCTGAGAAACAGAAACCGCACATCAAACCCAGCCGCGGGAGGCTCGGAGAGATTACCGTGTTGACTCTGCAGGCAACGCATTCTCTACCCCTGACCGCCGAGCAGAAATAATACAGCGTGATGGTCAAGGAGCTATTAACGGGCTCCGTGGTTATTACTCACTGAGAATAGAAGAAAATCAGCGATGCAGGAATATGGTGTGGGTTTTGCTGCATCCCTGCTTGCCGTACTGGAAAAAAATACTGGTGGCTATTCACATCTCTCCCTACTTTCAAGACCCGATGAGTCCTTTATCTGCCCAGCCTCGGGTCTGGAGGTTTGGATATTTGCTGCAAACGGTCTGGAATTTGCCTGGTCCCGCTCAGCTGGGGGAAGGGGCTGCAGGAGTCAGTAAAGGAGCCAGTTTTTTTGCTTTGGGAGTGGTAGCCATGCACCAGTTGGTTAAGGAGGCTTTGAAGGAGCTGGATGTTGCATTAAATGTGTCGCGAGACCCCTCGCCCCAGCTGGCAGATTGCTGCTTTTGGGGGTGAGAGGGGTCTATCTAGCCCTCCAGCTCCAGGTGGGATGCTCCTGGAGGTCCCAGGCTCTATCCAAGGATGACCTGTTCTTTGCACTGAGATGGGAATCGTTTGCTGATGAGCTTTAATGCTGAGCATTAAACCATTGAGTTCTAAGAAAGCCGAGAGTGAGGCTTTGGTTTGTGGCTCTGGAGGTGTGCTCCTCCCGGTTCAGCAGTGCTACGGGGAAGGAGAAATGTGGTTTTGAGGCCAAAATCATGCCACTTGCTCCAAAAGCCACCAGAAAAGGAGGAGAGCCATGGCTATTTGGGAAGGGATGAGATTCCTTCCCTCTTGGCCAGATCGACTCAGAGGGCTCTGAAAGGGCATCACCTGCATTTTGTGATTCCTGGTGCTAGGAAAAAAACCAGGGCTGGCAGCGGGTGGTTTGGGAGCTGGGATATTCAGCAGTTAGGGCTTGGAAAGTTGATGCATATCCTGAACTATGGAAACCAGTTAAAAATGGGAAGGCTGAGCCGAGCCCAGCCGGCACTGCCCACCAGAGCCCTGCAGGCTGCGGAGCGAGACCAGGCACTGGTTGTGTGTTAGAAATTGTTTCAAGGAGAAATCAAGGTCATCTCTTAAGCAATGTTGTAAATGACAAAGCGGTTTGCTGCCTAGTTGGTTTGTTTTAACTGCTGATTTAAGAGTGGCATACCAGATGATGTGGGGGCTGGAATGGCTGGGAAATAAAGTCAGAGATAAGCAGTAGTCACCACTGCCTATCTATAAAAATAATAACAAAAAAACAACCAACAACATGTAAACATCTTTTCTAAACAAGAACTAAACCCAGAGCTACTGGCATTGAGTTTCCAGACTAAGTACTTAGCCTTAAAATTTTAAGAGACAATGATATCCGATACGACAGGAGGTTTGGGATCATAGATGATTCTGCCAACTCCAGGTTCAAAAAGCCCGTCTTCAAAGGCATTTAAAATTGCTCTCCAATTTAGAGAATTTCATTCGTTTTCCCTTTAAAAATTTGTCCCCTTTCATATATATATGTATAAAAAGGCTCTTTATGTTGTGACCACATACAGCTCAATAACCAGTTCACAAATGACCAGCCTTTCTCATCTGTGTTTCATGAATGTCTTGTGACAGTCGGTGCGAGGAGAGGGGATCACTTTGGATCACCAGGATTAGCTCTGGTGAGCTCTCAACAGCCACGGCCACGACCTGCCTGTTCCTCTCCCATCCTCCACGTGCCCACAGAGCATCATTCCACACGTGGTAATTAAAAGCGAGCGATAGGCTGCAACCATGGGAGCTGGCAGGATCTCTGATGGCATCACCACCCTATAGAGTCCCCACGCGATCTGATGCTTACTGGTGATATACTTAACCACAAAGTCAGTTCCTGCAGAGTAATTGTGGCTCCAGGTGATGTTTGCCCAGTTACTATTAGCCATAGCTCTTATGTCCCATATGAAGGATCCATTGGTGGCTGGTGGACAGGTTAGAAGAGGAGTTAGTATTTTAGATTATACACGAATGAGACCCCATCTAGCACCTGGTGTTGGGAAAACCTTACAAAATCATTCCTGGAGTTAATTCTTTGATCTTAACCTACGAGCGTGGCTAAGGATGTATTTTTTCCTTTCAAGATCCTTAACTTAACTTTTGGGGGAAATTTGGTAGCAGAAGCTCATTGCATATCAATGCTTAAGTCCAACTGCACTCAGCTTATCTTTGGAGTCTGAAGACTTCTGTGGCACATCCCTGAGGATTTTGGTCAGCGGGGACATCTCTTGGCTAAACTCCTGCCCAAACGGACGCGGGAGCTGCCTGCGTGAGTGCACGGGGACTCACTGCCACAGCTGAGATGGAAGGACTGGGAGAGAATATTGTCACGTTACTGGGTCTAGAGACAGCCAGTGGGGCAATGAAGTCACTCGTTTCTGATTTTGAAGTTAAGGATTGTCGACGTTGCTTTGGAGAGTGGATGAACCTCATTTCTACTGAAGTAGAGCTAATCCCCTGTAAGTGACGTCAGATAAACTACACCTGGGTTTTAGTATTAGTGCTATTTACTTCGGGGTGTAACTCAGCTTTTGGGTTGACAAAATACGGATTAATGATGGTTCCTGGGATGAGGCCAGCTCTGTGAACTCGTAGGAAACTGCAGTTGACAAAATATGGCTTAATGATGGTTCCTGGGATGGGGCCAGCTCTGTGAACTCGTAGGAAACTGCAAAGACCCGACGCTGTGGGGTCGGGGATGTGACCTAGAATCCCTGGCACAAGTACAACCTGTGCTGCCCTGTCTGCCTGCATTACAGCTCAGCCTCTTCCCTCCTGTCCCCAGGGTGGTTGGGGACACGCGCCGTTCCTCTTCCAGCTCCTTTTTTCCTCCCGTCTCCTCTCCCTGCTCCGTGCCTCACCACTTGATCACCTATTTTCAATTAGAAATGTTTTCCCACACAGTCACATAATAGTGACTTAACAGCATCCCCTTTCCCTGCCCGGCGTAAGGCTCCTCTGGCTGGGGGGGCTGGTGGTGTGTGGTTCCAGCCACCAGCTGGAACCCAAATTCCCATTTCTCAGTTCAGTTCTGTGTCTTTAGAAAGCGAATTAGTACAGAGCAGGAAGGGTGCTGCCCATCGGCAAATCTATTTTACTGCGGAGCGTCGGGTGAGGCTGCTCCTCCCAGCACATGTTTTGTGGTGGGGTTTTTTAACCTACCTGAGCTAGGTTAAAATATTACACAAGAATATAAAGAAAGGGGTCTGAACTGCTTTAATGAAATTCCTTGAATTAACTGGGTGCCAGCTTGGATATTCTTTGCTATCATCTCCTTTCCCTATTTATAAGGAGTTAACGAGAATTTCTCTATCTTTTGCACTTGTATTTTTGGGTGTGTCCTATCCAGCTGCGTAACTGAATTATTTTGATTGTATTCCCTTTTGCTACTGATCTGATTTATTTTTTAATAACCTTAATATAACTATCCATAATTATTTATTAACTGCAGATATGAGTATAGCAGCATTTTTAAAAACAAGGCTCAGCGAGATACCTCTGTGTATCTGTCAGTAAAACACATATAGTGGAGAACAGGCCTCCACCAAAGCAGAGTTTGACCTCCCCGTTCTAGCTGAGTGCACGGGAAGTTTATCCTGACCTGATAAATGCCTGGCCCACCCCTGCGTGTTGTGACTCGAACCCTTCCCCAGCTCTGCTGTGGGCTACGGCTCCGTTACATCGCAAAGAGCAGTGGCAATAAACCAAAAGACTCCTACAAATGCTGACAGGTCTCTTAGCTCACAGCCGATGTGCTAAATTGGAAGCGACATCTTCTATAATAGTAACAGAACCCCTTTTTTATAATGGCAATGAGATACAAGATAATACTTTTGAGAGCTTTTGTAGGCTCTTCCATCTCCTTCCCAAACACTAATTCAGCATCGCGACGCCCCGGGGAGGGCTGTGTTATCCCTGAGACTGAGACCAGGAGGGTGGCACGGGGACCCCCAAATTGCCAGGAGCCACTTGTGCACCTCGATTCCTGAGCCTGTGCCACCTCCAGCTCCTCCCCAAGCCATTCCCAGAGCGTGGGATGTCTTAAATTCTGCCTCTGCCCGTTATCAGCCCCCTTTGCTCTGAGCGAGATGCAGGGAAGGTCCCGGGAGGGTTAGAAAGGGGTTAGAGGAAAAGGAAAGCTCAGTACCCAACTCCTGCTTTGTGGTGGCTGCCGGAGCCCTCTCTGTAGCTGCTGTAGCACTTGCGATGGTGGTGGCAGGTAGAGTGGTGGCAGCTGTGGTGGTGGTGGTGGTTGTGGTAGTTGTGTCGGTGGTAGTTGTGGTAGTTGTGTCGGTGGTAGTAGTGGTAGTTGTGTCGGTAGTTGTGGTGTCGGTGGTGGTAGTTGGGGAGGTTGTAGTACTGGTTAGACCCACTGTAGTTGGAGGCAGCCCAGTTGCAGCTGGGAGAGGGAAACACTGGCTTTTTAGAGGCGGTGGTGTCTCCTGGAGGGGGGGGTTCCCACTCACCATCCCTGAGGGCTGGAGGCGCAGGCACACGAGAGGCAGGTGGTGGTAGTTGGGGAGGTTGTAGTACTGGTTAGACCCACTGTAGTTGGAGGCAGCCCAGTTGCAGCTGGGAGAGGGAAACACTGGCTTTTTAGAGGCGGTGGTGTCTCCTGGAGGGGGGGGTTCCCACTCACCATCCCTGAGGGCTGGAGGCGCAGGCACACGAGAGGCAGCGGAGCAGCACGGCACGACGGCGGGGGATTTGGGGGGGGGGAGGCAGCAAATGGCACCGGGAGACACCGGGAAACAGCAGGAAACACGAGGCGGAACCACTTTCCCCATCCCCATCCATGCGTGGGGGGGGCCACATGCCCGGCCGAGGGACAGGGAGCGATGCTGGGGGCGAGGAGAGGGGGCTGCCCCCCACAAACTGCTCCTACACCCACAGTTTGATCCCTTCCCCAGGGCTGAAGGACCTGCTTCTCCTCTGCCTTTGCTCTGCCACTGGTGTCCCCCATCGCCCTGGGCTTAAATACCCCAGAGGGCATGGAAGGAGGAGAGTGAGGGGTGTTTTGGGGGATGCAGAGGACACGCTGTCCTCATCTCATCACCTCCCCTGTGCAGAACCCCGCTGAGAGCACTCAAGGCTCCCTGAAATAAGGAACAGGATTTTTATCTCTGAAGAAAACATAATAATCCCATTTGTGGTGGGCTGGGCAAGACACAGTTCCATTAATTCAGCATGGACTACACCTCCAGCATTTAGCGGCCTTTCAATACCTGAAGGGTGCCTATAGAAGAGCTGGGGAGGGACTCTTTGCCAGGAAGTGTAATGATTGAACAAGGGGAGACGGTTTTAAATTGGAAGAAAAAAGATTCAGATTAGATCTCAGGAAGAAATTTTTGACTCTGAGGGTGGTGAGACACTGGAACAGGTTGCCCAGGGAAGTTGTGGCTGCCCCATCCCTGGAGGGGGTCAAGGCCAGGCTGGATGGGGCTTGGAGCAACCTGGTCTGGTGGGAGGTGTCCCTGCCCAGGGCAGGGGGGTGGAACTCGATGATCTTTGAGGTCCCTTCCAACCCAAACCATTCTATGATTCTATGATTTCTGAGCTGCCAATTTGAGCCTGCACCTTCTCAGCTCTGTCCTTCCCTGTACTGATGCTGCACTGGGGCTGGAGCAACTTTAGCATTAACGTGGATTTTAGCTCATCCAGTGAGTGATGGATGGTTCTTCCCTATGGCTGCCCCTCACAATTTACATTTAAATTACGCCAAAGGGGTTGGCACACCCCCGAGCCATCCAGGGGAAAAGTCTGAGCAATTTGGTTTCTAAATAGCCCCCGTTCCCACCTCACCTCTGCTGTGTTTCCAGAGCAAAGGGGTGAAGGTGCACTTTACGTGTGGTTGGGGGGGTCCTGAACACCACCAAAGGGGAGTGTGTTGGCTTGGGCCTGAAAACCTGCCAGCAGCAAATGCAGCTGAGACGCTGCTTAAACTACCTGCAGTAAATGAGCAGAGATTTACCCTGTGATGCTCGCATTAAATTGTATTTACTTACTCTTACTGGAGATGAAGGGATTACAAATCCCTCTGTCAGGCAAATGAAACCAGCTATTTTAAATAACACCCGCAAACAAGAATAGCTCTAGGAAAGTACTTTAAAAGGTGTCCCAGAAACCAAGCCAGGGCTTTCTCCTTCACCGAGTCCATCCCCGAGGAGGACCAACCCCTAAAATCTCAGCCCTCCAAAAGCAGAGAAGAGCAGTAGGTCACTCAGTCCATCTCCCTCCCCACCCGCGGCTGAAATAAAACCACAGTTACCGGCACATCCCCAAAACCCCAGCCCACCCCGAGGTGTGCCCGGAGGAGCCGCGTGTCCTCTCGGTGGTGGCACCACGGCAGCATCACAGCCAGCCCCATGCAGCAGCGCAGCCACCCAAAAGAAAGCACCCCCCCTCCCTTGCCGACCCACTGGCTGCCCCACGGCCGGGCTGGGGGGCAGCAGGGAGGGTTTGGTGACAGGGAGGGTTCCCAGCCTGGCTGGGGAATGGCATGGCTTTGTCCTCGGGTGTCTGTGGTGAAGCAAAGCAAAGCCCTCTCTGACTCGACCCAGCCACCGCAATAGGGGTTACTGATCGAGGACTGTGCTTCAGGGGAGGTTTAGGATGGGTATTAGGGAAAATTTAGGATGGAAATTAGGAAAAAGGGTTGTCAAGCCTTGGAACAGGCTGCCCAGAGCAGTGGTGAAATTGTCACCCCTGGAGGTATTTAAAAGTTGGGCAGACGTGGTGCTGAGGGACATGGGTTTGTGGTGGGTTTTGTCAGTGTTGGGTTGATGGTTGGATTCGATGATCTGCAAGATCCCTTCCGACCTGGACAATTCAGAACAGGCTGCCCAGAGCAGTGGTAAAATTGTCACCCCTGGAGGTGTTTTAAAAGCCGGGCAGACATGGTGCTGAGGGACATGGGTTTGTGGTGGGTTTGTCAGTGTTGGGCTGATGGTTGGACTTGATGATCTGCAAGATCCCTTCCGACCTGGACAATTCTGTGATTCTATAAGTTGCCAAAACCTGTCTTGGGTTGAGAAGTACTAACATCCATCTTTGCTGATTCATAGCAGGGTTTTTTTGGAAGGTTAGGCGATGAGTGTCATGAGGTTAATGTCACCATTAAGCTGATTAAGCTGCAGCTCCTCGATAGGTCTGCAGTGCTCCCACTCAGACAGCACAGCAGACACTCGTCATTAGCTAACGCCGTCTCAGCATTTCCCCTGTGACTCCCTGGCTCCCCTCTAAGGAAAAATTGGACCCAACAAGGCACAAAGTAAGTTGCTGAAAGGCAGGAGCTGTTGGGAAAACAGGTACAAGCCCCTGTTATGCATCTCTGCATCCCACACAGCGCCTTTGAGGACTGTTTGCATCACCTCGCGCCGCTACAAAGCCTCGAGCAGAAGGAGGGATTCAGCTTTAATGCTCCTCTAGATCCTGGATGGGAAGAGATTATCTGGGATGAGTCAAAGCCTCACTATCCCTCGTGTAGGGTATCATCTCCCTGTATTACATGCGGATATGCACACAGGTGAAGATGGGGTGCCAAAGACCCTCCTGGTTGCCACGCTGGCCGAAGCTGGGCATCAGTCTGAGCCGTGCTGCTGGGCTGGGGGTGATGCTGATGCCAGGCAGGATTTGCCCCCGTGCTCTAGTGGAAGTGATCCCCGCCAGCAGGGCCATCACATTGCATCAGGATAAGACAGGTTGGCTCCCGAGCAGGTCCCTGCATGAGATGGAGGAGGGGATGGGTGTCAACACCCGGGATAAAAAATGATCCTGGCAGGACTAGGAACAGGTGAAAAATGGGATAGGGTGGGTCCAGAAAGCAGTAATTCAGAGAGGGGAGGATGGAGAGCACTCTACTGGAAGTGATCCCCGCCAGCAGGGCCATCACATTGCATCAGGATAAGGCAGGTTGGCTCCCGAGCAGGTCCCTGCACGAGATGGAGGAGGGGATGGGTGTCAACACCCGGGATAAAAAATGATCCTGGCAGGACTAGGAACAGGTGAAAAATGGGATAGGGTGGGTCCAGAAAGCAGTAATTCAGAGAGGGGAGGATGGAGAGAGTGTCTGTGGGCAGGAGCAGGCGGTGGGAAGGGGGGATTTAGCCCTAAGCTGCCCCAGGATTCAAAGCTACAGCCTCATTTGTGTCTGAATATGAACAGTGTGGGGGAGAAAAGCTCAGCTGGGAGATTTGGGGGAAGAGAAGATAAGGGGCATGTTCTAGGCTTTGAAATCCATCCCCTAATGAGAGCGGGTTCAGGCTGGGGGGAGGTAAAGGCAGCCTTTGACAGAGATCAGAGCGCTCTGGTGTCCCCCGAAGAAAAGGGGGAGCAGCCTGCACAGGGTACCTGGGGTGCCCCCTCGCTGCCCACCCCGTCGGGGCTAAGTAAGAGGGGACAGATCACTGCTCCTGTCAACAAAAGGGGGGGACAGGGACGATGGAGGGCCAGGCTGGCATTTCCAGAATTGCTCATTTGGAAAATGTAGGAATCACACACTTCTAAAAAACCACGGTTGCAGTAATTCAGCGGGTATAAGGTTTCTGAGCTTTGCAGAGTAGCTGTTTCTTTTTCTGCGTTCCCAACGTGAGGTTCACTCAAGGGCTTTGACAACAGTTGCCTCAAGCTTAGATACAGGACTGAGCATCTGGCATTTGTGTGATGGGGAAAATAATTCCCCCACCTCTGAAAGCGGGAGCCGGTGCAGAGAAGGGGCTGCCACCGTCCCCATTGCAGGGCAGGGCAGCACCCAGCAAACCAGTGCTTCCAGCAGGCTTGAAATTGCCCCAGTACACCCAGCACAACCCAGAGTAAAAACCAGCAGCAGCAATTCCCCTTCTCCTGCTCCCGCCGTGGCCCGGCGCATCTTCCTGGAAACAGCTAAACGAGCGTTCAGCTCGTTAATAGGCCCCATGGTTGCAAGGCTGAGATTGCTTTTTCCATCTGCAAGATGCATTACCCTTTCAGGTAATGGAGACCGAGGGCAGGGTGGGGAGGAGATGGGCTGTTGTAATGGACGGGGGATGCAGAGGTCTGGCTGGAGCAATTAATAGGCTAAGTAACGAGATTGATGCTTGGAGCAGGACGGCGGGGCTCTCTGCTGCCCCTTGGCTCCTATGACTGTGAATGGGCCAGTAAAAAAAGAGCCCAAACCTCACCAAAAAACTGTGTGAGGCTCAGACTGGTAGGAAGAATCATATCAAGACTCGTAAAAGCAAAAAGGGGAAATTTAAAGAGGGACTCAAGTCTTGCTTCGAGTAGCATCGCAGTTCAGGGAGTAGTTTCGTGGGGTTTTTTTGCAAAATACAGGAAACAATACACATCCATACTGCTCTTTAATTATTTAAAGGTGCTTTTAATGTGTTGTTAGGCCGTCGTAACAGCTTTCCCTTGGGTGTGTCTACAAAATAATTAGGCTTGGAGAAATTTGATTAATTTTTCATGAATTTTGATGATTAGCCAAATACATTTTCAGAGCTGGTTTGGTTTTTTTTTTCCTTCTCGCCCTCTCCCAGTTTTTAGCAAGAGAAGGAAAGTGCAAAGTCTTTACCATAAAGATAAAGTGTTCCAAATCTGATATAGCTGTAAGAAATTCAAGAATAGAAAGGAGCAATTGAGTAGCCTCCAAAAGAGAGGGCTCAGCAGTTCTCTCTGTTTCTGCTGCCGTCGTTTCTACAACGAACAATGGGATCTTTCTCTTCTGATTCATAATTATGGAGAGGCAAGAAAGGAACGGAGAAAAGTCAATGCTTTTTCCCTTAAAGTCTAAGACCAATACTCTTTATGGTCCCTGATGAAGTTTTTTCATACACATGGGTGGTATAGGATCCAGTTTGGGTTTTTCTTCTCATTCATAGCATAAATGAGAGCCCTTTTTTGATGCCCCCTCTTTTCCCACATCACCTCTCCTTTTGTCTGGGTCTGGCTTAGGAAAAGTAAAGCCTTTCCTAAGGGAAAGTCCCTGCACTTCACTTTGATTTCATCAAGCTGGTCCCGTTTCTCACGCACACACAAAACAGCTACGACCCTGTATACGTAAGGTTACTCCTGGAAAAAAAAAAAAGACCTTTTTTTTTAGTGCCAGCAGCCCATGGCAAAGAACGTTTTACTGCAATTTAAGACAACTTGCACTCTGAATCCATAAAATCTACAAAATCTAGGTCACTGAGCGGAGATAAATCTTCCGAGAAAGGTCAAACAGTATTTCACTCGAACCCCCTACTTGTTAGGAAGAGAAACAGCCTCTCGGGACAAACCCCGCTCGAATTGTGTAACGGCTCCCGTGCCCGCCCCGTGTCCTAACGAGAAATGACATCCAGCTCAAGAGCAAGACAAGGATGTTTGCTGGATCTTCCTAGGACTCATATCTCCGTGCTGTCTCCTGCCGGAGCCTGGCGCGGGGAGGAAGCTGTGGATGGGGCTGAGTTAGCACTTAACGACCTACTACTCCACTTACTGACTCTTAAGGCATCTTTCAGCTCTGGTCTATCTTTTCTCTTTACTATTTCTCCTAGCAGAAGGTGGAAAATAGAGGGATGGGGGACCAGGGGGCTCTGCTCTTGTAAAATTATCCTTTCACTGGCAATGCATTCATCTAGTGTCCAGTGGTATAAGAAATTACACCTAAAGCAGTATGCTGGAAGGATAAAGAGATCACGTTGTGTTTTCAAAGTTCAGCAATATCCACTGAAAGTAGAAAAGCTCTTTGGAAGGTGATCCTGATCCACAAAGAAAATCCAGCTTCTTGTGGATAAGCTAAACCCTGGCTGAAGTACGAGCTATAGCCCCAAAACAGCCCTCCCAGACTCGGAGGACAGAGCTCCTTGAAGCCAAAATGTTGTGTCTGTTTTCAGTTTCCCACCACCCAACGCAGACCAATCTGTTACCCCACGGTTTGGCTTTTTTTCAGGGAGAGAAAGTAAGAAAAAAAGATCGGCCATCTATTCAGAAAGGGGGAAAAAAAAAAAAAAAGGCAAAATAATATTGGGTAGAAAGACATCACTGCAACAAAATGAAAGGAGGAGAAACATCTGTGAGGTAGGAAAGCAAAACCTCCAGGTGCAGAGAGCGGGTCCTGCCCCTGTATCCCTTGGGAAGAGCCTTCCCTGGGAAGCTGTTCCTCCCTGGGGAGCCCCGGGGCCACGTCTAGCAAAGGCAAAGCACGACCTCTTACAGAGCCCTGGGTGCAGGGCTAACGAGGGCTGATGCTCCGGACCAAAAAGCTTTTCTGCAGCATTCGGGGTGCGTTTTGGCCGGCTGCACCCCCCTGGCACTGCCACTGTCCCCCTTCTGAGCTCGGTCCCAGGGCTGGCCCCGCTCCTGAAATATGGGCTCAAAGGGGTGGGGAGGGAAAAGTCACGTCTGCAGCTTTTGTAAGAGGTGGGGGGGGTCCTTTTGGGCAGCCAGAAGTTGTGCTTATGCTTTGGACTATTGCAGGGTTGACACGGGGCAACTGTGGATTTGAGTTTTCCTCAGAAGCAGGTAGAGATGCTGCACGCCCCCCGCCCCGGTAAGAGTTTTGAGTTTTCTCTCTGCTTCAACACTGCTGGAGAAATTTGCAATCGAGGGCAAAGCCAGCAATAGCCTCGCATGCAGACATGCACAGCTGTGGCACAAACATCGTCCTTAACCCTTTCAATGGGCACCTGGAAACAAAAGGCTTCTCCTGTCCCAAAGCCCTGGGAGCCCTAGATAGAAGAGCCCTGGGGGGGTGGGATGTGGGGCTTGGGGTGCCCGGGGGCTGCAGCCCCGACCTGCCAGGCCCAGGAAGGCAGCAGCTGAGTGATAATACTGGCTCCCCGGTCTAAAAATGCAGTTTAAATAACCCAGTTGGGCACTGGTGAGTCGGGGAGGGCTGGGAAATCTGTATTTCACAGGGTGGGGATGCTGAGATTTAATAAGGGAGAGGGCTTTGTGCAGACCTGGGGTTAAAAAAAACCCAAAACCTTCAAAAGGGCCACTTGACTCTCATTTTTGCTCATGGCAGCTGTGGTGTTTGGTGGGTTTTGCCATCATTAGGCGTCCGGGAGGCTGTTAAACCCCACACAGAGATATTTTAATCTTTTCAGACTGGCCCCTCCCCGGGGTGAATCCTGTCCTAATCCCTGCTGCCTGCGGGGCTTCATTTTACCTGCCGCCGTTTGGTATGTCCAATTTAGGCTCCTGACACTTCACCTTCCCATTGAAAGGGTTAACGGAGTGCATGCTTAATTGCCAGCACACCCCAGCGAGCAGAATGAGCCTTGCCCCCATGCCTGTTACCTCCTCCGGCTGGTACGGTACCTGGGGTTGGCGTGGCTTCAGAGGGCAGCGCCAAGGATAGAGAGGGGAATACGAGGAGAGCATAGAAGAGAAGGGAAGAGAAAAGAGAGGAATATATAAAACAGCCAGAACACACCAAGGAGAGACTCGGGGACCACTTGCACACAGTCACCAGAGGCTTAGAGAGAGAGGGAATAAATGAATTAGCTGCGACCCGTCACCCTCCTGTGCATCCCAGCCGCTGGCGCAGGGCAGGGGGAGCAGGGACATCTCCTTGGAGATGGAGATTTTGGGTTGAACACACACCAACTCCGCGGCAGAGAGGCCAGTGGTGTCGATAAAGCAAAGTGCTTAAGCAGGTGCTTATATCTAATCCCAGCAGGGACTGGTTTTGACACTCTGAATTTCGCCTTAGTTTTTTTTTCTGGTGTAATTCTAATATCGGAGCTCGTCCTGCCTTGTGTGGGATGGAGCCCGAGGTGCAGAACACCACGGGGATGTGAGTCTGGCAAGCAGAAAACAACCTCTGAAGGGGGATGTGTTTTATTCAGGCTGCTCAGATGAATGAGTCTGGCAAGCAGAAAACAACCTCTGAATGCCTTAATGGGTTTAATTTTCTTAGACTGCTTTTTCTTTTTTTTCTTTTTTTTTTATTCCAAGCTTGTCTTTTGCAGCGTTAGAGCAGGTACCTTCACAGCAGAGTGGGCATTTAGAGCTGCTAATTGTACTTACACGCCTGTCATTCGCAGGACTGTCGTGTTGTACCTCAGGGTCTGGTGTTTTGAGGTCAAACTTTGCCATATTTCTAGAACTTCAGACTGGGATTTGACTCTTTAATGCCTTGTCCTTTTGCTGAGTGGCAGCCGCTCGTCCCTGGGTGCCACCACCCAGCCATGTCCCCTGTGGCCAGGGACCCTTACCTTGTCAGGCTGGTGTGTGCTTTACTGCTATTTCCTGATACAATCAATTAAGCAACGTACAGCAGTGATTGGTTGTGGCTATTATTTAGCTGTGCTCTCCTAACAGTCCAGATTTTCAGCACATGGAAGCAAACCCAGTAAAGCAAACGTATATGAAACAGCTAAACCTATTGACTATCAGCACCGACACCTTCAATTTGATCCCTGTGTGGTTTCTTCAGGAAAGCTGCTTTTTAAAGCAATGACGTGACCCCTCTCAGGTTTGCCAGGGTGTAACTTAGCTGATTTATATTTTTTTTTCCCATTGCATACACAGCCCCATCTCCCATCCTGACGGGTCAATTAGCCATGCTGGAGCCCACCTAAGAGGTGTCGGGAAGCATTTCATTTCCACTGGGTCATCAGCAGGAATTACTTTTCCTACTCAGAGCCATTAGTTGGGGAGGGGGAGATGGAGAAAAGGAGACAAAAACCCCATTAAATCAGAGCACTAACCAAATCATAGGTCTTTTAGCAAACGCTAAAGAAAGGAAAGAGCCAGCTTTTTGTCTCCACGAGTTCCCTCAGGGCTCCTGAACTTTCACTTAGTTTGATGAATGTCCCACAATGGGCGTTTTATCTTATTATGAATCTGGGAGTTGGGGCTTCGCTCTGGAGGGTCAGGTCAACTGCTGGTTGTGGGGTGACAGGGAAGTGGCACCGTAGCCCCCGCCTGGGGTTCACTGCCCAGAAGCTGCAGCTGATGCACCCCTTTGAGACGCGTAAAAATCACCCAAATCTGCCCCTTATTTAGCTCCTGCAGGGACTGCAGAGAGGGGCAGATCAGAGCTTTGCCTCTTGCAAGAGGAGAGCAAGATGCCCTCCTGTAGCAGGGCATGTGAGGAACACAGGACAGCAAGATGGTCCCTGGAGCACAGTGTTGGGTCCTGGTCACTCATCTCTCTATCTCTGCACTAGACAGTAGCTCTGCACCAGTTACCATCTTCTACTGGTGGTTCTGTGGACCACCCGATTCTCTGAGCTTCAGTTTTTGGCTGACACATGTAACATCAGCCCCCACTCCCCCCAAGCCCCACAGCAAAGCCAGGAGCTGCTGCCCCCTCCGCATACCTTCGTTCAGCAAAGCTGGTGACTCCTCCACTATGGCTTCTCCTTCTCCCACCTGGGTCCGTGCACGCAGGAAGAAGCGATAGCGCGAGATGGGGTCTGTCCTCTGCAGGGTGAACCTTGTCTGATTGGGAGAGAAGTTCTCTACCAGGGTTCGGCCCGTTTTGGTTCCGTTAACTGGGGAGGAAAGGCAGGTCGTGGTGGCTTCAGCCTTGGTGCAGAAACACACACTGTGCTGTCGCCCTTGTCCCCTCGCCCCCCAGGACCGACAGGCAGTCAGTGGGGATGTGCTCAGAGATGTTAAATACACTAAATCTAGGGCAGCTGGTGACTTACTGGCTGGGGGACCTGCTAGTGGGGACATTTGGGGTTGTAGAGGTGGCCAAGGAAGGGCACAGGACAAAGTGCCAGGCTGTGCTGCCCCAGGCTCTGCAGAGTGTGCAGCGTTTCTCCTGTAGCCGGAGGGACCACAAACTGCTCCGACTGCACTTAAAGGTCTTTCCAAACCAGCCTGGAGACAAGGAGGCTGAGGGGAGACCTTATTGCTCTCTACAACTGCCTGAAAGGAGGTTGTAGGGAGGCGGGGGTGGGTCTCTTCTCCCAAGTCACAGGTGACAGGACTAGAGGAAACGGCCTCAAGTTGCATCAGGTGAGGTTCAGATTGGATATTAGGAAAAAATTTTACCCTGAAAGGGTTATCAAGCCTTGGAATGGGCTGCCCAGGGAAGGGGTTGAGGCACCATCCCTGGAGGTGTTCAAAAGAGGGGTTGACATGGTGCTGGGGGACATGGTTTTGTGATGTTTTTTTTGTCAGAGTTGGGTTGATGATTGGACTAGATGATCTTGAAGGTCCCTTCCAACCTAGATGATTCTGTGACATCAAACTTCTTTCCCTTTGGTGGCCGAGTCTGGAGAAACGCTGAGCACCTGCCACCCTCCCTGGTTAACTGCAGCCACCCAGCACCACCCCAGGACCCCTCTCCATCACCAGCACCTCGCATCTCGTGGTGAACATCTGCCCAGAGAGCTTTCTGTGCTAGGTGAGGGCAATCAGCAGCGAGAAAAATAGCTATTGACTAAATGATTATCACTAAGAAGATAAGGGGTGGAACGTACAGGCTTGATATCTAAGGTTGTATCCCGTGAGGACTCCGTTGGGATGCTCTGGGTGATCCCACTCCAGATTGATGGTTTCCAGATTGGGCTGTCGGATTCTTAAATACCTAGGGGAGCTGGGCACTTGGGAGGAGGATGGGACCAGGGAGGAGGGGGAAAGAAGAAAAAAACACACAAGATAACATACCTCACAATACTGTATGCATCGCGGGCTGACCGATACACTCAAGACACCCATGAATACACACACACACGCACGAGCAGGCAGAAAATGATTGAACAAGAACCTGTGCCAGGAACCATGCACCAGCCCCGGGTTTGCAGCAGCGGGTGTGCAGGGAGCAGGAACTGGAGCAGCTCAGCATGCAACCCCAGCACCCACCCTGCTGGGACCACTGGGACCACTGCACCCCAGCCCAAAAGATGCTACAGCCGTGAAGCGGAGCTGTGACGGTGTTCATGTCCCACTTAGGTATGTTTTTTTATACATATATTTATGCATATACATATTTTTATATATTTGTGTGTATATATATCGATATATATCTGTGTACATATATATTATTATACTTTACTGGTCTTGCTTACAGCCCCCACCCCGCCCATCACTTAAATCTCAGCTCTTTATCTGTTGGAACAGTGAAAGATCTTGTAGCAGCTTCTCTTATCGCAAAGCATCTCTGTGTTATTAATGCCTGGAGACCTGTAAGAGGGAGCTGGTGCATATACCGTGGTCCTTACCCTGAGGAATGGCTGCTTTTATGACTGCTTAGTCAAAGCTAGTAAAGGAAGGAAAGCATTACGCATTCTTGAATCAAATTGTTCTCCTGGTTTACTCGTAGTTGCAGTGTCTTGACTGGGGAAAGAACTCAGCTCTCTGACCTGAGAGATCGGTCATTTGGATTTTTTTAAACAGAAGGTTTTTTTCAAAGTGAAGTTTTGCAGAATATCAGTCAATCTCCTGAACATCAATATATAGTCATTAAAAGGAAAATAAACAAAATCAATGCCTGTGTTTACCCCGAATGCTCCCTCCTGCTGGTACTCGGGGAAGCAGCAGAGTCAAAATGCACCCGACTCCAAACCTGCCTGACTGGAACAGTCCTTTCTTTTTAAATAAGCTTAATTATGGCTGGTCAATTGAAAATCCTTAGAAAATAGTGACAGCATCCAGAAAATGCTAAGGAAGAAGGAGACGGGCCTGAGGGATGCTGTTCTCATGCAGCAGGAATAGGAGGAAGAGGGTATTGCTCTCTACAACTGCCTGAAAGGAGGTTGTAGGGAGGCGGGGGTGGGTCTCTTCTCCCAAGTCACAGGTGACAAGACTAGAGGAAACGGCCTCAAGTTGCATCAGGTGAGGTTCAGATTGGATATTAGGAAAAAATTTTACCCTGAAAGGGTTATCAAGCCTTGGAATGGGCTGCCCAGGGAAGGTGTTGAGGCACCATCCCTGGAGGTGTTCAAAAGATGGGTTGACATGGTGCTGGGGGACATGGTTTAGTGATGGGTTTTTTTGTCAGAGTTGGGTTGATGATTGGACTAGATGATCTTGAAGGTCCCTTCCAACCTAGATGATTCTGTGACATCAAACTTCTTTCCCTTTGGTGGCCGAGTCTGGAGAAACGCTGAGCACCTGCCACCCTCCCTGGTTAACTGCAGCCACCCAGCACCACCCCAGGACCCCTCTCCATCACCAGCACCTCTCATCTCGTGGTGAACATCTGCCCAGAGAGCTTTCTGTGCTAGGTGAGGGCAATCAGCAGCGAGAAAAATAGCTATTGACTAAATGATTATCACTAAGAAGATAAGGGGTGGAACGTACAGGCTTGATATCTAAGGTTGTATCCCGTGAGGACTCCGTTGGGATGCTCTGGGTGATCCCACTCCAGATTGATGGTTTCCAGATTGGGCTGTCGGATTCTTAAATACCTAGGGGAGCTGGGCACTTGGGAGGAGGATGGGACCAGGGAGGAGGGGGAAAGAAGAAAAAAACACACAAGATAACATACCTCACAATACTGTATGCATCGCGGGCTGACCGATACACTCAAGACACCCATGAATACACACACACACGCACTAGCAGGCAGAAAATGATTGAACAAGAACCTGTGCCAGGAACCATGCACCAGCCCCGGGTTTGCAGCAGCGGGTGTGCAGGGAGCAGGAACTGGAGCAGCTCAGCATGCAACCCCAGCACCCACCCTGCTGGGACCACTGGGACCACTGCACCCCAGCCCAAAAGATGCTACAGCCGTGAAGCGGAGCTGTGACGGTGTTCATGTCCCACTTAGGTATGTTTTTTTATACATATATTTATGCATATACATATTTTTATATATTTGTGTGTATATATATCGATATATATCTGTGTACATATATATTATTATACTTTACTGGTCTTGCTTACAGCCCCCACCCCGCCCATCACTTAAATCTCAGCTCTTTATCTGTTGGAACAGTGAAAGATCTTGTAGCAGCTTCTCTTATCGCAAAGCATCTCTGTGTTATTAATGCCTGGAGACCTGTAAGAGGGAGCTGGTGCATATACCGTGGTCCTTACCCTGAGGAATGGCTGCTTTTATGACTGCTTAGTCAAAGCTAGTAAAGGAAGGAAAGCATTACGCATTCTTGAATCAAATTGTTCTCCTGGTTTACTCGTAGTTGCAGTGTCTTGACTGGGGAAAGAACTCAGCTCTCTGACCTGAGAGATCGGTCATTTGGATTTTTTTAAACAGAAGGTTTTTTTCAAAGTGAAGTTTTGCAGAATATCAGTCAATCTCCTGAACATCAATATATAGTCATTAAAAGGAAAATAAACAAAATCAATGCCTGTGTTTACCCCGAATGCTCCCTCCTGCTGGTACTCGGGGAAGCAGCAGAGTCAAAATGCACCCGACTCCAAACCTGCCTGACTGGAACAGTCCTTTCTTTTTAAATAAGCTTAATTATGGCTGGTCAATTGAAAATCCTTAGAAAATAGTGACAGCATCCAGAAAATGCTAAGGAAGAAGGAGACGGGCCTGAGGGATGCTGTTCTCATGCAGCAGGAATAGGAGGAAGAGGAAGAGGGAGACCCCAAAGCACCCCCTGTTACTTGAGACAGGATTTTTTCCCCAGTCTCTACTGTTTTCTCCTCTTGTGTTTTTGTAACATACTGTGCCAAAAACACATCTCTGCTCTAGGAGGGTTCTTTGCCAGGCACTGAAAGTGCAGCTCCAACAGAAAGTTACTGGCGTGTCTATAAATAGCTCCGGTGACAGCAAGAAAATTAAAATCTCAAGTTCATCCTTGACACACGCTCTTTAAACAGAAGAACGAGGCGCTCTCGCCTTAAAAGCCTGATGGGGGTATTAGTGCCATCCTTTCAGAACGAAAGTGCTTAGGTCTTAGAGAGAGATTTTACTGCCTTTTACTGCGCATGAGGAATATCTTCCCTCCCGTGTCAGCGCCCCATCGCTCGGGGACATGGGGTGACGTTTGCCAGTGGGGTGGCAGCCCAAGGGCACGGTGCTGTGCCTCTGACGAGGTGCCACCAACATTTCCCTTGTTCAGCCTAAGAGAGACCCCCTGATGTGTTCAAAGTACCTGAAGGGGACGTTTAGATTGATGAGACGGTGCCAGGAGTTCACTCTAGGTGTAGCTGCGGAGATGTCACCTACCCCGCGGTGACAAAGGTGGTGATGCTGCCCAGGCTTGGCTAAAAATGGTCCCTAGAGCATCTCCCCAGCAGCATCACAGCTCCTGGTCCGCTCTGCTGGAGTGGACCACCCTGTGCATCCCCCCCCAGGGAACATACCTCCTTCTGGTGTGGGGAACTCCTTAACTTCACTGCGTGGCCCATCTCCTCGCCCGTTGGTTACAACCATCTCAAGCTTGTAGTTGCTGTAAGGAAACAGCCGGGACACTATGCCCCGGTTTCGGTCTCCAGGAAAACTCACATACTGCCGTTTTTTGGAGACCCACAGGTTCTTCAGCAAACTACTGTCTCTCCAGAAATAGGCCTTCAAGAAACATGCATGGCAAGTGAAGCTTTTCCCATTTAAGTGCAATTGTGGTTGTTTTTGTTGTTGTTGTTGTTAACAAAGCACAGCAAAACTTTGCTTTTCCAAAGAGCAGCTCTGGGCTGCGGAAGCCCAGAATTAGGAATTAATGAGGAATTAATGAAGCTCCATGTCCCGTCCCCCCCCCCCGACAAGTGAAGCAGGTCAGTGGTGTTACCCGAGGAAGAGGATGAGCGTGGGGTTAAGTGCTTACCAAAGGTCCCGGAGCAAAACCAAGTAAGTTCAGGCTACAAAGAGCCATTTCTGGCTACTGAGCACAAGGCATCAAGTGACACCCCCCCCCCTCCCCCCCAT